CCCCCAAAACTAGTGGTTATGTGGTAGAGTGAGTTTCTTGATGACGTGGCATGCCTTTCACACGTATCCATACTGGTCTACTGGATAGCCTAAGGGCAACATGTCCACATAAAGATCAGACAATATACATTCGTTTGATGTATTTCAAGTCATTATATACCTCATCTTCCAAGATGTTGACCATTAACAAACTCAAGAACAACTAGAAATAAATCACAACTCAAATGATCTAAATAAGGTGGATTTGGCATGTAGTGGCAGAGCCAATTCTAGGGCAGGCGGATGTGCCGCCCCACAAATCTTGTCATCTATTTTGAAGTGCTTTATTAGATAAAGCCACACACAAGCTCATGCTTTGAAATTAAAAGCCACTGCCTACCCTGATGAATTGAATTGTTGTGATCCTGTGGACTTAATATTTTAATACCATTCTATGTAAATATTGAGTTAGTAGTTTAATACCACTGTTGATTAATAGCAAAGTAATCATTGAATTTATTACAAATATTAAATTTTTTGTAATTTGTAATTAGAATGTTATTATGATTGTTAATTTGTTGTTTTATAATCATAGGTAAATCATGAGCAAGAAAACATCATCAATTCTTTTTTAAAAGAAAAAAAAACATGTTCATGGCTCACAATTAAATCTTGTTACCGAGTAATTTTAAGGAAGATGTTATAATACACATTCATTACCTAAAAGTAATAATAATATCGAATAACCAATATTGAACCTGAAAAAAAATGATTTTTAGAATTAAAAAAGATTTAAAAGATTCTTTGATTTTTGTTCCCGAAAAACGACCTTTGGTCTGAAGTTATCCAACTCACATCGAGTTAGGTCATATACCACATCATGGTTAAACAAAATGCAAAAATAAATTATGGCAAAGAATGTGTTTTCATAGTCCATGAAGGTAAGCCCCTTATTTTAAAATTATGGTTCCGTCCCTACATGACCACATAAAACAAGATTATGGGGGTAGTAGACATAGTTGTTTAATGTGATTATGTGAGGTGTTTGATTTAGGTTTATGATTGATTAATATTTTTATTGAATGTGTATATTATAATTATTGTAATTGATAATTCTTTATTATTATTACTAGTTTATAACCTGTGAGAACCACAGTTATAAAACTAATTAAACTTTCAGATTAAAAAATCAAAATTATTAATCAATTATTTTAAATAATTTATTATTTAAGAGATATTTTTTTAGTTATATAAAATTATAATCGTTAATTTAAATAAATATGTGAAGTTGCATCACCTTATAATCTGTATTAATTTTATTTTATTTTTTAATCTAATGTTATTAATTTAATATAATTAGAGTGAAAAAGTTTAAAATTTGAAATTTGAAATTGATAATTAATAGGTTTACAAGTGGCATGATAGGTGACATATAATATTAATGAAGAATTCTAATAGTATGACATTTGTCAATAGGAGAATAAACATATTCATTTATTAGATTAGGGAGATTATTATGATTATTATTATATTATTATTATTATTATTATTAACCTTCATTGTGTTCCACATGGTAATTAGGCACTCACTTTTCACTTTTCACTGCCTCTGCTCCAAACTAAACGTTCTATCGAGCAATCGATTTTTTGACAAAATAAGTGTTTTTAGAAAAAATATTTATTGTATAGGTATAGTTTTAACTTAATTACTAATCAGGGTAAATACGTGTGTTTATCTGTTAGGCGTGTCAAACCCAACAAATAAAGGGGTACAAAATGACTCCAAAACACTGTTACTTTGCACTAAAAAATGTAATACAAGGTAAGCAGGGTCGATCCACAGAGACACGGGACAAGTGCTTATACCTTTTTGTGTAAGGTACAAAAATGGTCACAAAATATGGGGAATTTATAAGCAATGATTTAAACGATAGAATAAAACAATAAGTAAATGATTGATTAAATGAAGTAGATTCAAGATTTGTAATGACTCCAACTCTATGCAAGACAATTTAGCAATGTGATTCCAAGGGTGAAATGATTTCTACTCAATTCCACCTAAGTTGGTACTTGAAAGTGTTAACAAGTTCTAACACTTCCCATTCACCAAGTTGTCAAATTCAAAACAAGCTCTTTGAAAATAACTTAACCTTCTAATTTAAGTCTAAACAAGCTCTTAGATAGAAATCAAAAGGTTGCAATAAGATTTATGTGAATGTTCCCAACAACACCCAATACTCCTCACAAGCTCGGGAGTGTAAGAGTATGTGAATAAGATTTACACTAAATTCATTCAATGGAAATCAATTTAGTGTTTGTTACTTAGTCCAATTCACAAAACAATTACGGATTTTGCAATTAGATAACTTGAATGACCTAACCCTAATTCAAATGGCCAATAAGAATCACAATCAGAATCAAACATTCAATTGAAACAAAATCAAATTCACTAGGTAGGAATTGGAAGCAAACATCAAATCACATGACTGAAATCACAACTAAAAAGTCAAGACATGAAGTTGGAGAAACTAAGGTTCTAGCCACTCATGACTAGAACAAGATCACAAATCTAGAAAATGAAATTAAAGTTCTTACAAAGTGAAATCAAAGGTTCCCAAGTGTTAATCAACTCCAAAATCCTCCACGAAATCACCTTCTCTGCTCCCAAAATCGACTCCTCTCTAAAAATATGGTTCCCCCTTTAAGAATGGTGAAAAACTGCTTTAAAACCCGCATTTACGTTTACACGGCCCGCGTAAATTAACACTGTCGTTTACGCGCCAGCGTAAACGCAAAAATACACTGCGCAGAAATCTGCGTTTACACGGGCGTGTAAACGCAAGGCTTCCATTTACACGACCGTGTAAATCTCTATAAAGCCAAAATCTTCATTTCTTTTATATCTTGCTCCTCCGCAAGTCCCGAAATTTTGTCCGCAACTCTTATTTACCTCCTCCAACAATATCCTACCTCCAAAAGTCCCTGAAATATCACAAAAATGTGTGAATGAAATTGCCTCATGAAAAAATCCCGAAAAACATGCAAAATGCATGAGTTTAAACCTAAATGCAATGCACTTTTATGGAGTAAAACTACAAAATGGATGCATGAAATGCATCTAACATTATCCATCAAGAAAAAGAAAAACCCATTGTGCACTACTCCTTCTCTTGCCGAACGGAAGCAGGAACAACGTCAAAAGAAAACTACGCTCACCATCGACTTCCATATCCGCCCGCACCTCCATCTTTGACCAGACTTCCAGCCAGCAACTCCACCTGTGGCAACACCAGAAGGTGGCGACTCCACTTCCGTCCACTCCTCCAGTCGACGATTCTATCTTAGGTTTAAATTTTGAAATCCATCTCAGCTTTGATTTTGTATTTTCATCTTCGATATTTATGCCTTGTTTTGGTTTATTGAATACATAGTGTTGAACATTGTTTTCATTCTACAAGATTTTCACTTGATTAGGTGGTGATTTCGAATTTCTTATTTGCTACGATAGTGATTTCAAAATTTTCATTGAACTGGATTAGGTTAGATTTCTGATTGCTTCAATATACCAGGTTAGGTTAGATTTCTGATTGCTTCAATATACCAAAAGCTGATCATCACAAACAGAGGAATATTTGAGTTTGAGTTTTGGTTTTCTGATTGATTTAATGTTGTATGTTTCTTGTTTCTAAGTTTGAGTTTGAGTTTCTAATTATAAGAAGTTGATGTTATTTTTCTATTGTCTCTTTCTGTTATGTTAAAATCATACAAATTGATGGTATGTTTATGTTTTCAGATGTTGTTTTTGGTAGATGGATACAAATGTCATTTTCGGAGTGACTATGAAGTTGATGCAAGTGTTAGAAGAAGATGACATCGGAGAAGAAGATAGCTATTCCAAATGTTTCTTATTTTCTTTTGTTTTTGAAAGAAGCTATTGTTGGTTTTGTAGCTAAAACATTATACTTATGATATTAGTTTTAATTTAAGATGATGCTTGTTGGTTTTTGTAAGAAACGTTTGTTGATTAGATAAAAAAAATTGGTGGTTATAATGGTGTTTGTAAAAATATTTGATATAGATTAATAGAAAAAAGTTAAAAAAATTATATATATATATATATATATTAAAATTATCCTACCTTAGCTACAGTGATCTTCCTAGGCTTTGGGCAGAACCAGTCCCGGTAATGTTGCAATTCTGTGTCTTTTCTTTTACCTTCCAATTTTGCCACGATACTTTCTTGCTTTGGTAGATTCAGTCCCTCTGTTTTTTGGTTTTTTTTTAAATATATTATTTATATATATATATTAAAATTATCCTACCTTAGCTACAAGGATCTTCCTAGGCTTTGGGCAGAACCAGTCCCCTGATTATGGGTAATGTTGCAATTCTGTCTCTTTTCTTTTACCTTCCAATTTTGCCACGATACTTTCTGGCTTTGGCAGATTCAGTCCCTCTGTTTTTGGTTTTTTTTTAAATATATTATTCTTGGTTGACACGTGTTCTTTCTCCTTTTCCTTCACCGATTTGTCAGCCAATCAGATTCCGATTTTTCGTTTTCTGGCTTTCCTTTGATTTTTTCTTCCCTTTTCCGTTAGTGGTTTCCACGTGTTATCAACTCAGACAATCCACCGCCCACCGCCCATAACACTGCCTCTTCTTACCCACTTTCTCTAGATGCTTCCCACCGCCTCTAACCCTCCATCTCTCTCTAAACTCATAGGCTTCAGAGAGTAAACATCATGGCGGCAAGGGTGCAACACTCCCTTCAATTTCAGAGAAACAACATCACCGCCTTCTTCTTCTCCTCCTCATCCTCATCTTTTTCGAATTCCATCAACAAAACCCAAATCAACTTCCGTTCAAAATAGTTCTCACCTTCTTCTTCATCTTCTTCAAAAAGATCAGGAGCTGCTTTATACTGCACCTGCACTAGCAATTCAGATTCTACAGATTTACATTCAACACCCATTCCAGCAAAAGAAAACCTCTTTATCCTGACGACTCCTCTTTATTACGTCAATGCTCCTCCTCATGTTTGTATCTATCTATTGTTCTACCTCGAGAAGAATAATTTGAATTTGTTAATTTCCTATCTGATGACGACATCATACGATTTTAGGGCTAATAATGCCTATCAAGAATTCAGGAATTTTTTAAATACTATTTCCTTGAAGTATCCTTACTTTGATTTAGAAACAATCGCGTAAGATTCATTCCAACAAGCTAATTTCTTTCACTTTTTTTTGCTTAATCTACATAAATAGGGTTATAATTAGGGTTCCAGTTTTTTTGATTTGTAGGATGTAGGGCAAGAGGTTATGGAAAGCTATTCACGGGTGATTGAAAGTTTAGCTTTTAATTTAATGGCGAGGATTGATGATATGTTATACGTAGATGATTCTACCAAGAAACATGCTGCAGTGGAGGCTGGTCTTCATCTTCAACTGCCGAGATTTCATGGCTTCTCATCGTCATCTTCCATGGTGGGACGACCGACGTTTGGTAATTCACCTTTGACGACTACAAATCCGGGGAAGAGACGATCATCTTTTAGTTGAACGAGCAATATTGATTTTTATTGAATCCTAGATTCTTCTCATTGCTCTAGAAAATCATTTACAGAAATATGCGCAGGTGAAATCTTCTGATATTACCTCACAAAAATTAATAAAAAAAAGTAGGCATGTTGATTTCCTCTATGTCTTATATATCAATAACTTTTTTGATATATTTTTTTAGATGGAGAATCTGGTATTCAGGGAAATAAGGGAGACATATAAGGCTCATTATCTGTGTATTAGAAGTGAAAAAGTTGTAGCTGGACTGAGATGAATGCAAGCTTATGTTCAACCAGACCTATGTGTAGACGTATTGGTCTACACACTAAAAAAAAAGAGTGCTGCTCGACAACAAAATCCAAAAGGTACATCTTGCAAACATTTAGTGGGGGGAAAGGATCAAATTTTTTAATTGCTTTTCGGTTTTTTTTGCCTTTCTTGGAGTATGTTGTTGTTGTGTACCTATGCTGCTACAGATCTGCTATCCCCCAAGAAGAAGATTATTCAAACTTTAGAAAAGATAAAGAGTTGAATTAAATTGTTTGATGAACTGTCAACTAAGCTTATTGAGTTCTATAGTACATCCTTTAACCTTTTATATCACCACTTATAAGATATAGAGGTTAAATTTTATTGTTAGATTCAGTTATTAGGTGTTTTTTAATTGTTTGGGTTCATTTAGGAAGTAAAACTGGAACAATATGGACACAAAAGTCATGTTATTTTAATTTGTCATTTCTTGATTTTTAACAGGAAAATCAAGAAGAAGAATGTAGGACTGAAGGTGAAACTGTTAGTTCTCAATCAAGTCGACGAAGCAGAGCTGCTGCAATTCATAACCAGTCTAAAACGGGTAATTTGCTTTGGTTGTTGTTCCAATTCACCACCAATTACTGATGTTGACGAGCCATCAAAGGGCCTTAGAGTACAAGGCCAGACTATGAAGATATCTATTCTTTTAGATGATTTTTGTGAATTCTTTCAGAACCCTTTCAAAGAAAAAAGGTAACTTATATATAATTTAAATGTCAATTATTAAATCAAATGTTTTTTTTTATCGAACTAATGTAACCATATTTTTTTGTCTAATGATGTAGGTAGAGTTATGAAGGTTTTGAAAGGTGGAGCCTCTCCCAGATGGATCCGGCCACTTCTTTAATCTCAGTAATCCCTTTTTTTATTTTTTTTTATTTTCAGCTCTTAATCGACTCTTTTCTTGGTTATAGATTTAACCAAACTTTTTTTTTTTTTTTATAATTTCTGTTTGTGGTGAAGTGCCTGAACTTGTGATCAAAATAAAGGACAAGGATGTTCGTTCTTAAGATGATCTTGTGGGAGAGGTTAAGTATATACAATTTAATCAAAACTTTGTTATCATTATGTATTTTTTTTAGCAAAGGGCATTTTGGTCCGTCGTAGAAAATAATAGGTATTTGAAACCCATTTATAATTTTTCTATTTGGAAATTTTTACAAAATCAGCACTTAAGGGATCTCAAAGCTGCAAGAGCTTATTCGAGAGGAAGCAGTTGGACTGGTGCTGCCTTTGACTAAATTTGGTTAAAGTAATTTTGTACCCAACATATGTGTTTTAAAAAGAGAATATATCTCAGTTTGCTTCTACTTTACTACATTTTTTAAGCATCATAGTCAACCAATTATAGCATCCTACTTCCATGACAAACGAGTGATAAACGATGACACCATCTTTAACATAATGTCTTCCATCGGTTTTCTTTGACATTAGTGTCGAATCCAACCCCCGCGGAGGGTTGCTTCTTATCTAGTTATAATTAAAAGTAGTTTAAAAAAAACTGAAAACTTTAGAAAAATACAAAATATTTTTGTCAACTGAGGAACACTATTTTGGTCAAAAACTCCTAGCAATTCCTAGGGCTTTGCGTTGCTAATCTGTAGAAAATTGAAACAGGAATAGATTCCAAATTTACAATCACTCTTCAGGCGTCCACGCTCCGCCTATTTCCCTCAGTCCCTCATCCCCCGAAACCCTAACCCTTTGTGAGCCTGTGACGAGTATCTCTGTCCTGAAACCCTAAATAAAGGTATTGTTACTCTATGCCTGCGATTAATATTACTGATTTACTGCATCGCTGGCTTGATTTAATAGCTTATTGTCCAGGTTAATATGTTCTTAGTTTTTGCTTCTAAATGATAATGCTTTGATTGGTTGGTTGGGTAACTTTTATATTGAATCCAAACCTGGGAAAATGATTAGTAGATAGAACCTAATTCATGTCAAATCGTTTGAGATAGTTCTGTTATCAAAACTCGAATAAGATTTGCTGGTTTTCTTTCAAACTGGAACCCAATGATTGTTCTTTCTAAGATTACAATTGCTTTTGTTTACCAATCAGGTTATGTGTGTGTAGTGTGTTTATTCATTCTAGGATTACCATGTACTCCAGAGTAGGTAACTTTCTGTATGTATGTATATATGGTCGGTCAATCTTGAATATCACTGAAACTTGTCTGAATTCCATGCAATCCTTTTCACATACTTTGGTATGATTCAGCTCTGAATCATTCATTATTCACTGATTATGTTTTTGTTATTATTGTCATGTATTTTGCTTTCCCAGGATTGATACCCAACCCAACAACACGAAGTTTGTGTATCCCACCCCACCCACTTTGTTGTGTCTTTTCTGAAACTTTAATGTATAGTTGTGCATTGAACCTTTTTGTATATTGCTAGGCACCCATTCCTAAGTCAGTTATTGTTTGTTTGATTTCCGTTCCAAAGTCAGTTCTTAGCATATATGCTGATTGAATAAGTAAAACTGAAAGTTTCTGTATGTATATGGTCATTGGGTTTTGTTCGTCTGTTGCATACTTGCATCTTTGTGACTAAAATGTTAACACATATGTATTATCGTATTATGCAGAGTTGTTATTAAAAAAAACTTTTGGATATGTTTAATTAGATTTTTGTTGGATTTTAATTGATTTGGTTTTGGTGTTGTTTCAGTTTGAGGAGTTGGAAATATGGATCCCGGTGGATGCGGAGATATATTTTATGGAGTAGGGGTAGCAAGGCCGGAAAACCAGATATCCGAAAATTTTGAATGGTAGATACTGATATCCGAATCTGAATCCGAATCCGAAATTTCGTGAGTCCGATTTGGATATCAAATCGGATATCCGAAAATGTTGTGAATTCAAAATAGATCTTTTTAAAATCATCAATGAGTCACAAAAAGAACCGTTATTCAATTATGGTATAGTTGTAAAACAAATAATTTCTCTGTTCATTTGTTCAATATATATAGACCATAAACCAAACTAATGTTTCTTTATATTTGCTAATTAACAAATGAATTTGAATACATTAAGTTACCGTTTGATAAATAGTTGTATGTTCAAGACTTCACGTAAGAATGTAAGTTCCATTGCTCTTAAATTTAACTTTATTGATATTGGATGAATATTGAATGTAACCGAAAGTAATCAAAATTATATATATATAAAAGTATCAAAATTAGTGGATATCCGAAAATTCAAAATACGACTATAAGAATCTGAATCTGAAATTTCGATGATTTCGTTTTGGATTTTCTAAGACGGATATTTTTGAACATTTTCATTCCATCTGTTTTTTAAGATAGCGAAGCGGTAGTTGGAGGAGCATATCCCATCTTCCAATCCCAGGAGTTGAGTCTGGCATATTCCAATCAAAACCTGACTTTGCTTTTTCTTCCCACCTGTTCATTCTCTTTTGAGAATGTTTGTGTACTAAGTACTAATAAGTAATACCTTCTCCTCTTTCTCTCTTTTCATGGCAGCTTCCCTCATGATAAGTTTCAGGTTTTGGAGTCTTGTCCCCATTTGCAAAAGCATCATGTCTTTCTGGTGAAAAAACATGGTTCAACCTCCTCCTTCTGTAGGCATCCTCCCTGTCGACAATCCTCTGTGATTTCTTAAAACACAAAGACTTAGTCGTCGTCTCCACCTTTGGGCATATCATTCAAGAGAGATCTTGGGGAAGTGTAAGACGCTAATTTCCTAGCAACCTCAATGTTCTCTTCGTCATCATTGGCAGGAATCTCCCTGTTATAATCCTGAAATCGATTGTGATTGCAATAGTATCAAAAGTAATAGAGTTGGGCGCCATGGCTGCCTTCATAATCTTCCTTTCTTCCCGTGTCTTTGATATCTCAATATCTCAGCATCCATGTTTCCAACTCTTCCTCAAACTGAAACAACACCAAAACCAAAGTCAACAATCAATGTTACTTCGGGTCAAATGAATTAAAATCCAATATACCTCAAAGTTCAAGAATCCACATTAACATATATGAGACTAGTACCATTAAAAAACAAATTAAACATAATTTCAACACACTATCCTACATCATCTAAAAGGAAGAAAACACCAAGTTCTCGAAGAAACAGACTATTTTTTTTTTCTAAAACAACCCTACAAAACACATTACGTAATTTGGAGGCTGTTGAAACCTACATGTATCGGTAAAACAAACAAGCACAATCATTACCCAATACCAGCCGTATTCTTGAGTTTGGCCGTTATAGAACTGTTGAATCATCGTCCAGAAGCTTGGCTCTCCAGTAGTCCGTTCACGGACTCCATCTCTCCAAGAGTCCAACTCCTGCTCCCAGAAATCTTTCTCCCGTACCTCAACTCGTGCACCCAACTCTCCCTCCAAGTGGCCAATTCCATCTTTCCTGTACACCCCTTCCTAATGCATAATTGTCAAGACCATGCTCCTACCTGTGAGAAAGTGATAATTGTTCACCTTACTTGTTATTGATCATTAAACGTGTACTTATACAAATTACAAGAAGAGTATAGGAGATATACATGGAATATTATAAACTAACTATAGTAAACAAATAATCTAATTATATATGAGATTTATCTCCAATACCCCCCCCCCCTCAAGCGCACAGGTGGTGGGCGAACTCGAAGCTGATCACGAAACTTCTCAAACAGCGGTCTTGGTAAAGGTTTGGTGAAGATGTCGGCCACTTGAAGCCTGGTAGGAACAAATTGTGTATGCAATTTGCCAGATAAAACAAGTTCCCTAATAAAATGATGATCAATTTCTATATGTTTTGCCCGCTTATGTGCAACAGGATTTTGACTTAGGAAAATAGCACTTAAATTGTCACAAAGCAAGGTAGGGCGAGATGATGGCAAGGCATTCAAATCACGTAACAGATGTGTAATCCAAATCAATTCTGCTGCAGTATTCGCCATGGCACGATACTCAGATTCACAACTTGACCTAGAAACAGTAGGTTGTTTCTTAGCACTCCAAGAAACAAGATTACCACCAAAGAAGATGGAGTAGCCATAAGTGGAACGTCGGGTTTCAATACAACGAGCCCAATCAGCATCTGAATAACCAATAAGCATTGACTTTGTGGGAACCGAAAAATGAAGACCATGAGTTATAGTGCCTTTGACATAGCGTAAAATCCTTTTAACAAGTGTAAAATGGTCAACAGTAGGAGCATGAAGGAACTGGCTTGCTTGATTAACAGCATAAGAAGATCAGGTCTTGTAATCGTCAAATATTGTAATGCTCCAACAAATGATCGATATAAGGTAGTGTCGTGAAAAGGAGTGCCAGTAGTAGTAAAGACATCATTAGTAGCAAGAGGAGTACCAACAGGTTTGGAATCAAGAAGACTTGCACGACTTAAGATGTCATGAGCATATTTACTTTGATTGAGAAACAAACCATTCGAGGTATAAGTAACTTCAAGGCCAAGAAAATAAACTCAATTTGCCTAGATCCTTAATAGCAAATTCAGTTTTCAAGCGACTAATAAAACGTGCAATGGATGAGGAGCGATTTCCAGTTAAGATGATATCATCAACATAAACAAGGAGGTAGAGTAAGCATGACCCTTGATGGAAAATAAAAAGTGATGTATCAGCTTGACTACATTTGAAGCCTTGAGCAACTAGGAAGGAACTAAGCCGTTGAAACCAAGCCCTTGGAGCTTGACGAAGACCATATAACGCCTTGTTGAGACGACACACATGATTTGGATGCTTAGAATCAACATACCCCAGAGGTTGCTCCATATATACTGTTTGACGTAAATTACCATTTAAAAAAGCATTTTTAACATCAAGTTGATAAAGATTCCATCGATTTGTGACGACCAAGGATAAAACAACTCGAACAGTTGTGGCCTTAACAACCGGACTAAATGTGTGGGAAAAATCAAACCCCGGAATTTGGGTGAACCCCTTGTACTACTAGACGAGCTTTATGCCGATCAACAGAACCATCAGCATGATATTTAGTGCGAAAGACCCACTTAGATCCAACAATGTTGACATTTGATGGCCGTGGTACGATAGTCCAGGTATGATTATCACATAGAGCTCGAATTTCTTCATTAATGGCACGACACCAATGATCATGTTTGGATGCTGATTTAAAACCCTTAGGTTCTTTAGCAGCAAATAAGGCAGCATGTAAACGTGTCGGAGCAATTGCTAGAAGATAAAAAATATGGCGGGGTTTAATAGTGCCAGCTTTCCTGCGAGTGATCATCGAATGCCCAGGTGGTGAATGAGGAGCTGGGGGTGAGGGCTGCGGTGGAGAGGGCTGCAGTGGAGAGGGTTGCGGTGAAGGCAGAGGCGCAGGAGCCGAAGACGGCTGTGGTGATGGCGGTGGCAGGGGTGCAGCAGCAGTAGTGATAGGATCATCATGCAGACACGTAATACATGGGGCTGTAGAAGGACTCGAAGCTGATGATGGCGAGGACACAAGTGCTACTGGTTTATCGAATACAACAGCAGGTATGTCATCCGAATAAGAACTTAAAAATAAAGTGAGCTCATCTGTAGATGATGGACCACCAGCAAATGGGAAGAAAGTTTCGTCAAACTTGGCATGCCGAGTAATAAAAGTTTTAGTAGTAATGGGATCAAAACACTTGTATCCTTTGTACTGTGTGCAATAGCCGAAAAAGATGCATGCAATGCTCCGTGGTGCTAATTTATGTTCCGCATAGGGCTGTAAGTAAGGAAAAACCCGACAAACCAAAGGCCTTGAAATTGTTGTAATCAGGGACAACTTTGAAGAGAATCTCGAAAGGAGATTTATTTAGTAGTAACCTGGTTGGCAAACAATTTATGACATATGTTGCAGAAGTGAAAGTTTCTACCCAACGATCTGCAGGGGCATTAGCACCAAATAACATGGCGAATCCGGTTTTAGTGAGATGGCGATGCTTGCATTCAACACGGCCATTTTGTTGAGGAATGTAAGGACATGACATTTGATGGTGAGTGCCATTGGCAGCAAATAATTTAGCAACCCGATGATTAAGAAATTCTGTACCACCATCACTTTGAAAAGTTTTCATCTTGCAAGAGAATTGGGTTTGAACAAATGTCAAGATGTGAATACAAAACTCATAAAAGTCGGATTTCTTTTTAAGCGGATAAAACCAAG